GCGCGAGTCGCTTCTCCGCGAGTTCCGCACGGGCGATTGCATGTAGAAGATCCTAAGAAGAATGGTCAGTGTAGGATTGACATAAGCTGAAATTACGCTTTACCTTGTCCATGGTCACAGCGCGCGGGTTCAGATATCGTTCGTGATGGTGGGACGCTGGAAGTGTCGGCACCCAGCTGCTTTATATATTCGCTAACCTATGCGCCATCGCAAAGATCGTCGCGCCCGAACGAACTTGACCGCCATCAGTGTGCGGTCGTATGACTGGAATGTGTAAGAAGGTTAGCGCCGCTCCGCGATATTTCGTATACATACTCACAGCAAGTCTCTCTGGCCGTGCGAGTATGGCGCTCGTATGATGGGTGAATGCGTCAGTACGGACTCTCGCGGTGAGGCCAGAAGCCCATACCGATCTTTGGGTAGATACCGCGCTGAAACGAATAGCCGGTGGATGTGGCGTCGTCCCGGAAGGGGCGCAGGAAGGAAGCCACTAGTAGAATATCAAGTCAGAAGCAGTGCCGCAGGGAAATAGCGCAACGCGCCGCTGAGCTGCGCTCTCCGACTCACTGAAGCCTATACATGTGGGAGTATGTGGATGGACACGTGGAGGTCGTGTCCAAGTGCTAAGCGCTAAGCGCCAAGCTGGCAGTCCTGTTCGCGCGCTTTGGCGCGACCGGCAGTTTCCGAGCGTCCTCCGTTGCGTCTCACCGTGCCAGACTCCGCCTTCGCAGTGACGACTGTGGGGGGAGGGGATGAATGCATATATATACCGCGTGTTGTAACTAGTCGCTAGCGTCTTGAAACACGAGTGGCTCCAGGCAGCGCCGAGCGGTACCGTACGAGAGGTGCGTGCAGAAAAGNGCTCCAGGCAGCGCCGAGCGGTACCGTACGAGAGGTGCGTGCAGAAAAGTAAATAGACAGATCCGAGAAAGTGACCGTTAGGAAACCAGGGGCGAGCGGACAACCTAGCGACGCCGAAGACCTCCTCTCGCTGGAGACTGTCTCGTTCCAGCGGCTCAACCCATTCCTCGTGCTCTGGCCTGCTCAGAGCGTACGTAGGGTCCCCAGGCCCACGTACTTTTACGGGAGGGGAGCGCAACTTGGAGGACAGCGAGAGGAAACGTGTTCGGGCGGCGCGCGATCGTCGGGAAGTGGGATCGAGATGGGAGGGAAGACCGGGATCAGTATAGTAAGCCGAGAGCGTATCGTAAGAGTATGAGGGGAACTGTGTGTGAGATAGAGCACCCTAAACCAATATCCCTCGCATCGCCTTGGGCGGTGGTAGCGCGTGCAAAGCGCGGGCGGTCAGTCGTGAAGGCACGCCGCGAGGCACTCGGTGCCGAAGTGCCGGTAAAGAGACGCGGATGCGTGGCGCCGAGGCCTGGCGAGGAGATCGTGGGGAAGAATGGGATAGCCGTAGGAGTAGAATACCTGGAAACGTCAGTAGAAATGGTGGTGGCGGTCGAAGACGAGGAAGACGCCAATACGCGCGCGGAGGACCTGCGGCGTGGGGCGGCGGCCTTCTCACGCGCTAAGCGTGGCCGCGCTAATCTGGCAGTGTCCACGAGTACGCTCGTGGACACTTCCACAACATCCACCCTGAATCATCACGGTCACGGTCATGAGTCGCTATACTGTCGAGCATCGCCAAAACGTGCTCGTGATCAACTTGCCAGCCGTGATCTCACTCGCTGAAACCAAGTCCTGTACGGTCTGCATCGAAGGGAAGTGAGCCAACTCCGGCAGATCTGCGAGCAGCTGCTGCCAATCCAAACATGATGTTTGCCTGTATAAGTCAGGCGCCACATCCAGGTCCAACATACAGATGCTAACTTGAGACCACTGAGTCGCAAACACTTGAACGGTTCGTAGCCACGATGGGTTGTCCGTAGGAACGACGACGTCCAGCCGCAACTGTGCGTCGGGGGAGTCTGTCCGGCGATTGGCCTCGTAGAAGAGGCCCCAGCACTGGAACAAGATTGTGTATCCAGCGCCTGCGCCGAGGCGGTGGCAATGAGTTTGGATGCGTTGGACGGGTATCTCCACTATTGACAGCATCAGAATCCAGCTATATTGTCCTTATAGTGCAGATTCTCATACCAAATGTATGGGCAATCGCTATGACTTCGACGATCCCCTCCCTTGTCAGTGTCGTGCGTATGTCGACCACGGAGTCTAGCGCCCATACCAGCTTGGATAGCAGGTCTGCAACAGCAGAAGGCGAATTTTCAATCCGCACGAATTGCAAGGGAAATTGCATATCATAGTCAGCCAACGAAACACTCGTTTGTCGGCTGCGGACTGTGTCAAGCGGATCCAGAGGCTCCAGTGTTGCGCCTCCACCTCCATTGACAAGATTGGATAGGATATCGTGGGCACTCGGCCTGAAGGTCGCATCCACTCCGAAAGCAACCGACAGACGGAGAAGATCGTGTGACGTGAAAGGCACCTAGAAGTTCACAAACGATGCCCTCTTCTTGTCAGGCGTGGCGCGTTCAGGCGGACGGTCGACCAGAGTGGAGTAATGGCCCTTGAATCCTTCGTTAGTGCGTGCTATGGCTGGGTGTTGGAGCCTCTCACCATACTCCGTGCTCGTCGCTGACCGCTACTGCCGGCACACTGCTGGCGCTCACAGCCAAGCTAGTCAGGTGCAAAAGCGGGTGCTCGACCGAGAGTTGTGCGAGGTGTCGGATATGTTGAACGATATCTGCTCCGGAATGAAGCGCCAGACGACTGACCCGATTGAAATCCGTCGCTTGGAAGAGGTGACGGAGGGCATTAGTGGATTGGGAATCACTGAGCTTAAGGCGCCCGACTCTAGTATCGTAGTTCAAGGGCTCGTCGCCGGCCAGTATGCTCGAACGCAGCGCAAGTAGCGGGCGGTGCGTGTACGTCTCCGCCATCAGGACGGAGTCGGTCAGAGCAATATGATACCATGCGCGGCAAACTTGCAGAACCATAAGCCAACTCTTGTGGGCAGCCGAGTCGGAAGATGATGTGACAGCCGGCGGGCTGATCAGAGCAGAGAAACAGAAGATACGCCGGAGCACGTTGGGCGAACGGAATGACTGAAAGCCCCTTCAGCGAGTAATCGTCCACGGGGACGACAGCACGTACCTCAGACTATGGGCCGCGTCCTCGGTGTGCCGAAGAACAAGATCGACTACATCGACAAGGTCTTGCAAAGCCGTTGTTGAACCCAACCGACTCTCGACGGAACTGGTGTCCAGCATCCCCAGAACACGAGACATCTCGAAGGCCTCATGAAGTCGAGTATCAGTTATCGTCATAGTGCTATCGTCCGGTAGTCGCCTACTTTGGATCGCTACGACGTTTAGATATCGCTCAAAGTCGAGAGGATAGGTATGTATGTATTGATGGTCGCCTTAACGGCGGGCTGAACGTTGCGCGTGGCCGATCGCTCAGATGACATGCTGGCGAGTACGGCCTCTGTAGACGGTGACTAGTACTATGGGATGGTATTCAAGTACCCGAATGCCGGGGACCAAGATGCAATATCGCAAAGGTTGATCGTTCGTCGTCCGACATGGGGCTTCTTGTCTGGATGCCGAATGGCGCCGTTCTCGAAAAGACCGGTAGCTCGAATGCACATGTGATATCGGACAATAAGGTTCGCTTGCCTCAGACTCATCAACGCACTCTGGCCCAAACGCCCATGCTCGACTCTGTGCGAATGTCATGACCTCAGACCCAACTTCGTTCTGGCGGCGCCTTGTTTGTGCCGCCGTACCCCGGTAACAACTTGGGTATCCCGGAAGTGGCCGGTCGCACATCTACACCTCTATCTACACCTCTACCCGGAGTATCTCCTTCGCTCTTCACGCTCAGCGCTGCGCCAACGTCGCACGTGTCGCTTGCGTTCTCCTGGGTACTTCGGTAACTTCACCCCAAGCTTGTACAGTGCCCATGCCACAGACCTTAATCATGAGCACTCTCCCTGGCTTATCCGATCTATCGGAGTTCTCTCCTGCTGAACTACACCTCGCCTCACGACCATTCACGATCGCCGAAGTTGAATACACGCCCCAAGCCAACCATACCGATATAGTCGTACTCGCTCATGATCGCAGTGGCACTACTTCATTCACCGCACGCATCCCCGGTCCGACTGATCCAGGCAAGATCGAGTCAACAAATGGACAGACTTGGTGCCCTATTGCGCCGTCTCCCACCATCATTCAATATTCAAACGGAATCTTCGACCGCAGCAAACGGCCGGAGCAGCGAGCACGGCTACGGCGGGCGTTTGGACCCGCTACCACCGACGCTAAGCGGGTTTGTCGCCGTGTTCAAGGACACTATCAGAACTCTAGGCAGCCTTCGCATACACCAAGACTTAAGCATTGTCTATCGCCTGCGTACCAACGTAGCCGCGAAGAAGATGACCGTTGTACACGATGCTGGGGTTGCGCAAGCTGCAATAGAAGCTGAGCTCCTGCGCGAAGAAGGCGCCGTTCCGGAACTAGCGCGCATGATTGCGGCCATCAAGCAGTCCGCGGTGCCAGCTGCAACAGAAGGTACTGATATGCTCTCATATATGATCTCTTATACGAGCTAAGCATAAACATTCATGATTCTAGGCGTCGAGCACTCAAGCACGGTGGCCAGTGGTGTCGGCAGCAACGAAGGAGACGTCGAAAGTCACAGTGGAGGCAGGGGAAAGGGTTAAGATAGAGAATGCAGTGCGGGCGACGACGAAGATAGGGGCGAGAGCTCTGTAGCGGACGGTGAGAATATTGAAGCGTCTATTATAGGCGTTGACGACTTTCTTGACGCACAGCTTGATCGCGTATTTGCGTGGTGGATGGGCAGGAGGGCGCCGGAAGGCGTCAGTGTTGAGAAGGTCCGAAGATGCCAGTACGTCGCTATGATTTATGTTCCTGGGCCGCACTCTGACGTGGAGCATATTATAGCGTGTGCGAATATATGCAAGACTGCGAATGGCGCGAGGAAAAGGCGATCGAGAACGATAAGAAGCATGGCATCGGCGCGTAGTTCCTACCACTTGACCTAAATAAGCCGTAACTGCGTGCGGTTTGCGCATGATGTTATTTGCTCAGCTCGAGCCAGCCCATGTGAGACTGAACAGCGCGTGTAGATGTGGTACCAAAAAGGCTAGATGACTGCACATCTGCGGTCCAAGTATCGGCGGACGCTGCCGGCGGGAAGTTGCACCAACTGCGCGTTCACGTTGATTGACTTCTTCGGCATCATGCTTCGGCAATCTCCGGTCGCTTGCTCGCGTGGTAAGTGCCTTTCGCACGCTCCAGTCTGTGGCACCTCCTCTGTACTGGCTAGTCACAATATTCTTCCCGCCTCTGAGCCGTGCGAACCACTTAGGCGCTACCTATATAAGACTGCGAATTGACTTGTGCGTTTGAATTCGCTCTTTGCTCTCGACCACCATGAACTCAACCGCGGAGCGTATGTCTTCGCATTTTCCTGATCGTTGGGTACCAACCATACTTTAGTCGCTACATTTTACAACTATCTTGGCGATCTCATTGACGAGCGCAACAGTCACACCGCTGCTACGTTTGACATCGACGCCGTCCCCGTGCCTGCTGGGCTTCTCGACTTTTACCAGCGCGTTTACAACACCCCTCAGCAACACATCGATGAGCCTCTCTACATCATATTCTTAGGGAATGTTGTAGGGGTCACAACTCTCCGGTATGATCTGCTCTGTGATGATCGTTTCCGTACTCACTGTGGGTAGTACTGTATCCGACAACGCGATGGCGGGTGTCTCCAATAGCTACCGCCTCCGCGTTTCTTATCCTTCACTTCGTCGGGCCTATTCTCTCTGGCGCCACTGGATCCGGCTGCTCGTCAACCTAGCAGTCACTCGGACTGACTTGGGAGACCGCGCGGAGCTCGTGCGGGCTGGGCGCGTGCATCTTCCCTTCGCAAAGACGATTGACGCTGAAGTACCGCTGGAACAAGTTCTCCAACAGCCTCCCTCATGGCTGTTTCCTCAGCCGGCATGTATACTATCTGATCTCTATCTCCTCGTCTTATGTCTCAGCGCAGGACCCCGACTCCGAGGATACTTCGGACGATGACTCACAGGAACTTGCAGACAGGGAAGAAGTAGAGGATATGGTAGGGAGAATAGTTGAGTGGGTTGATTGATTTGACATGATGTACTGGCCAGAAGGACGATGTATGCCGTATCTTGCTTTTTGCGCACTCTTTCGTGGTTGTATTTCTACTTGTTTCCGGTATATCTACTCATATCTGTTGTGATCATATCTCCGGTGTCATATCGTCGTATTCTACATAGTCATATGAGCGTCACAGCAACGCATTTTACTAGTCACTCCTCGTATTTACCTACACGCGCGACGAGCACGTTTCCCGATAAGACCGCCGATAGGACCGATAAACACCCGCGCACGGGACGTGCGCTGAAGCGCTGAAGCCTCACCCGTCCGTGATGCAAAATTATCAAGATAGGAACGGAATCAGGCGGGTTTGATCCCGTTCTAGTTCGTATCCGCCGCGCTTGTAGGGCGTATACCATACGGTATACCAGTATACCTAG